TCCGGAGGTCGCGATCGCCGAAGCGAACCTGCTTTCGGGAAAACCCCGTGGACACACATACATGCATGACAGATTGCTATGCCAAGCAGAACAAACTCCCCGAACCCTGCATTATCGATCCGGCCGGAAGCCTTCGAAGCCAACGATACCCTAAGCCGTCAAACCTGAGCCGTGGAATGCGAGGCAACCCATAGCCCGTGACTCTAGACCTGAAAAGATCTGTCGCAGAGGCCGTCAAAGGTTACAGAGACCGCTCTCAAAAGAACCTGCGGAGCCTGTGCCCAAGTTCTGCACGCCTGGGGGGGTTCAGGACTATGGGTTGACCATTTAGGTCGCCAGGCCTGGGATGAAAAATTTAATAAAAGGCCCCAACCTCCATACCCAGGATTCGATATGCACATGGCATCATGTGCTTTCGTCAAGGCCTAAGGGCCTAACCCGGAGTTGAAGACCTCCAACCCCGAAACCGCGACCCTCCACAGCTCCGAAGCCATCCGACAACCCGGTTCAATCCCAAATGCCCTTAACTCAAACCACCTACAGGAAGCCTCTAAGCCCATATTATCCGCCATCCCTAAGCAAACCCGGGCCATTTTCCTCTCAAGGGCCTGCTGGGCCTTTCTTCTCGCGAGCTCCTCGGCAAGCAGCCTTGGACTCACTTCTGCGCAGGTCTTACCGATTTGGGCTTGTGTCTTTGCATAAAGTCTATTTCCAGCGATTTGAAGCCGTCTCCGAACCAAGTCTTGCTGTTTCGCGCTGGTTTGGACTCAGGATGGACGTGCCAGGGATGGTCCAATAGTTGAGAAAAGTACAGATCCCGTCACCTAACAAGACAACAACTGCTTTGAAACTGGCGGTCTTGTCCCAGCGAACTGCGAAGCTACTCGGTTAGCTCAAGGGCCATATGGCAGCGGTGTATATACAAAGTAAGCTCAAGACCCAGGTTTCAACCCTCAGAGAAGCAGACATTGATTCACACTCAACCTGTTCTCTTGTCTTGAGCGTGGGAAATACTATACAAGCTATACAACCTTGTTCTACTCAGTTACAAAAACGGAATGGCATGATATTCCAAATCCGTAGTATCATCCTGAGAATGGCACCTGCAGCCTACTCAACTGATGCGATCCATAATGGGACGTATGGTCGTCTTATTCAGTGTCTGCGAAACTACAGCTTAGCTCTGCTAACTTTGTACACGCCAGATTCGATCAAACGAACGATAAAATCTGGCTACATTGATTTCGTGAAGCAATCGGCCGCTTGCGTGACTGTATCGATCCAATCCACTCCACACTGTCTCCTCCACCGGGGTAGAGTCCACAAGTGCGCTCGCCGTCTTCTGTAAAGATAGACTGACGTAGGGAGCTGAGCTCGATCTGCAGTCGCTTATCTTTAACCCCCGCGAGTGCGTCGGACTTCAGACGGTCAGCCAAGCTCCCGCAATCGGTCAAATAAGTGTGAGGTACTCTCCTTCTAGCAAGTGTCTCCCATTCGGCCCCCTGGGATCCGAATCCGTAAATCTCGGCTAGGACAACGAGTGCAGCTTGAAGGGTTGCACAGCATACCCTTTTGATGGTAGTACTTGAGAAAGACACAACCATCGCGTCGCATGTGTCATATGACGGATCACACAACTGCGATGCAAGTGCGAGAAATGAGATTCCCCGGCGAAGCTTGCATCGGATGCGGTCAGCACTCCTAACTTGTCATAGTCGAAAGGTCCATTCCAGTACCAGCTTAAGGTTCTTGCCCTCAAGCGCCAACTCTAACACCTTGTTGCCTCGTGCAAGGTACCCGTTATCGAGCTCTGAAGCTTCGATACTCGGTACAGAATATCTGGCCTGGCCTGCCAGGACATCCACGACAAACTGCCTACCACGGACCATATCTGTCCTTCCTCTCCTCGATCGCCAAGGTGCTGAGGGAGTACATGGTCCATCACAACTGCAGGGACTTGTGGAGCTTGGTGTGCCCGCCTCCGGGTGGACCATTGACTTTGACATGGTCCACACCGGTGTGCGGGCCATGGCTTCTCAAAGTCGTGGGGCTACTCTACGACCTGTTGGTGATTGCTCCGAATAGCAAATTGCTGGCGGTCAAGGTGCGGTCGGCACTCGAAAGCCTCCACCGCACGAATGATCTCACGATCGCCGTGCAAAAGGGGCGGACAGACTCGGA